TTATAGCCCGTGCCAGGCACAAGTTATAAAAATTATATACTAAATTTAAAAATCTTGTATATCTCTATTGTAAAGCTAAGCCTTATTATTGAAATTTCTTCCAACTTTACTATCTGGTCCGGGTTGGTTCGTTAACCAAAGTGCTAATTAGTTGTCACGTGGTATAGGTCATTATTGCCAAAAAAATCCTGTGTTTATGTTCTACTTTGTCTGTCTGAAAATAGAAGTGTAAACAATGCTGATCTTTTAGAGGGAGTAAGCTAGAATGCCCACTTTTTGTCAATATTTTTGTGAGAGTGGCAGAAAGGTAGAGTAAAGGAGTGTGAGTTTCTTCTACTAGAATCAAATAAAGCCATATCGGAACTTACACACTACTAAGTTTTCTTGGTGAGTAATAAACTCTGAGCTTGTTGGCAGATGCATATGAGAACTATCTCTAAATGACAAGTGCTCTGTCTGTCGCTACAGTAAGTGATAAACTCTGAAAAAATCGGCAAATAGTGTATAAGAACTATCTCTAAATTATAGTTGCTGTTCTAAGATCCCTTTTCGCACATCTTATTACGTCTAGTATAGCTGTTTGTATTTTTTCTTAGTAAAAGTTTTTTTGGAAATTTTTAGTACAAATGATCGTTAGAAAGAGTTGTACAACTTAGAAATTAAAAACTAAAAAATTTATTAAGGAAAAAGAAAAAAAAATAAAATACAAAACAAAGAAGAACTGGAACAACCACCAACTCAACTAAACTAAAACTCGGACTACTCTCCACAATACTCTGTAATGCCAAAATTTACATCTCCAAATCATCATTTATCAACTCCAAGTCTGCAACCTGAACCCTTAACCTATTTCTTTCTAACTACAACCTCTCTAACCAAATATTATTTTCATAATTCTGCCAAACAAGTTCAACTGGATCATGCTTCCTGGAGGTTTGCCACTTGATTCTGCAACTCCTAGATAATAGCCGAAACAGACTGACTTCTAGTTGTTCATGGCATCTAAGTTTTGACAAAAGTGTCATTAGAAAAAGAATGCTTTTTTCAAAATGAATATACTTAAAAATGAAAGTATCAAAAGAAAGAAAAAGAGAAAACAATAAAGAGAAAAGTATCCACCAAGGCCATGCAGTCAATTATACAAGTCATAAAAAGAAAAATCAATCATCCAAGCATGAAGAACTGTCAGCTTACCTAAACATGGAAAACCGGCGATTGCCCTGAAAGTGTAAAGCTAATGAGGTTTAGCACACGATCTGAAAAGTATATCCACCTTTGATAAAGAAAACAAGAGACAAGACAAGAGAAGTTGTCAAGAAACTAAAGAAGAAAAGAAAAGAGTATTAAACAAGAAAGTTTCTAACATAAAAAATTATAGAAAGGAATAGTACCAAGAAGAAAAAAGAAGATTCGAAAGAAAGACTTTGGCAAAAATAGAAATAATATATTTTATAATATATTGTCTATTTTAAATCGACAATGACCAAAACACGTGATTAACACCTGACAACTTTATTGGACAATTACAAAGATAATACTCGAAGGAATATTAAAAAAATCTCCAAAGAAACAGAAAGTTCAATTCAATTTCAAGATATAGCAAGAAGAAATACTATAATAGTAACCAACTTGGCAAAAACTATGAAAAACTTCTACCATTATTTTTGAAAAACTAGAATTTCCAGAGAAAATTCTTAAAGACAATAGAAAACACATGACAAAACACAAGACAATTTTTAATTTTTTTAATTTTTTTTTTTAATATTTAAGGTGAGACCTTGCTCTTATCTTTATTAAACTTAATAAAAACTTTTTACATAATTGAAAAAGGTTTTAAATTTTAAGTCTAGTGCTAAGAATAAGAACTCAGACATTTAGAAAACCTAATTGGTAACCTAAATATTTATCTGCGGCCTAAACCTACCAGAGTGGCCAAAGCTCACCTAGAGTTGGAATAATTAAAAATATAAGAAGAGTGTGTGTAGTATTTAATCCAGTTAGTATACCAAGATGATACTTTTGACAAAGATGTTTGAAGGGTAGTATCAGATATATCAGGAGTAGAAAGAGTATCTCTAGAAAGTGCTAGTGTAGAAGATAGCTGAGGTTGTATTAGCTGGGGGTTGGGGTCTTGAACTACAATAAGGAATCCAGATATTTGAGTACAATTGTTTGTTAACATGAAGAAGAAATTGTATAGAGATTAAGTTGGCTGCTTGGTTAGATGTAGTAAATTCACGTATTGTATATATAATGTCAAGTGGAATGAGGCTGGAAAGTGTAGATAAAATAAAAGGTTTATCAGGAAGATTGTGTATTAAAAGACTATCAAGGTTGATAATTTGGTTATGTAGCAAGCTAATTTGTGATAATGATATTTGAAGTTTGTTAGCAGTTATAGTTTGTTGTAAAAAATTTTTAATGAGTATGTAAATAGGATTAGGTGAGGGGCATATAGCCCCAATTTTTAATTTTTAATTATATATTGCATAATATATTATCTATTTTAGAGTAACTGTAATTAACATGTGATTATTACTTTATTAACATTCAAAAGAAGTAGCTAAAAAAATTTTAGTATTATTTGAACTATGGATTAATGGTCACGGCGGAGGGCTATCATTATGCAAACCCAGGTTCGAGACTGGCTAAGAGAGCTGCCTGCTAGGTACCAAGTTCAGTGTAGCTCTTAGTTAAAGTATTCGAATAATTAATTTTTTATTTTATTTTATTTTATTATTATTATTATTATTATATTATTATTATTATTATTTTATTATTATTATTATTATTATTATTATTATTATTTTTCTTTAGTTTATATATTTATTTTATTTGAAAAAAAAAAGTGTAATAATATAATATATATATATACAAAAGAAAAAAAATTACAAATCAAATTCTATATCTAAATCTATTGCAACACTATCTATACAACTCTTCAACTTAGCAATCTGAACCTGCAACTGATTTCTTTCTTGAACAATCCTCCAATGTAGAGGCCTAATTTTAAGGCCTGGGCCCGGTTACAAAATTTTTGCCAGCCCAGGCCCACCCGCAGTTAAAAATTTTTTGTCAAACCCGGCCTGTTTCGGCCTGGCCTGCAAATTTTTAATATAAATTTTTTTCAAAATTTTGTCTGGCCTAGCCTGCAATTATAAAAATTTTTTTTAGGCCCGCTCAGGCCCACACACTGGGCCAGGCTTTGGGACCCAATGCAGGCCTCTACTCCAATGCTCCTCATCTCTTCTCCAATTCTCTTCTACTGACTCTGTATCCCAAAAATGAATTTCTTCTAACTTCACTTCCAACACCATGATTTTTCTTCTTAAGGATTTTACTTCACGGCACAACCTAATATGGATTACAAAATTGATCTTTTAATGAAAACTATTATAAAAATCAGTAAATATTTACCTTCTATTCTGATCCTGCACTCTGATAAGAGCCTCATAAAGAGACTTATTACCATTATATCATAAATGTCAGACAGCACGTGAAATACAAGTGCGAGGCATTTTTAATGATTATTATTATTGTTATTATTGTTATTATTGTTGTTGTTGTTGTTATTGTAGTTGATATTGTTGATATTATTAATATTAACAAAAAGAGAAAAAGAAAAATTCTTAAAACCAGAAACCACGCTATATAGAATATGCTTTATTCTAAATTAATCATGATCGACACAACATGCAAAAATTTGATAATTCTATTAAACAATTGAAATAAACTATTAACTTACGAAGTTCGTTTTTAAAGGTGATAGAAATGTTATAGAACGCCTAAGAACATATTAAAGATTATGTTTTTAAAAGATCCAGAAGACTATAACAATTAAAACAAGCTATAATACACGATAAATGGACTAACAGATAATCAGCAATTGATAAACAAAGATAAGCCAAGAAGTAATAAATGATAAGCCGGAATGGATTTACAATACTTGTAAATCCATACTTATAATATTTCTTTATAATGGTTTTTAATATTTTCCAATGTTTCTTAATTTTTCTTAATGTTTCTTAATGTTTTTTAATGTTTCTTAATATTTCTTAACGTTTCTTATTATTTCTTATTGTTTCTTATAGTTTCTTATTGTTTTATATTCTTTTTATATATGTTATAAAAGCTATATAAACCCTAGCTTTTACTCTTTCTTTAACTTCAGAATTTGTTCTTTGCAATGTTTTAAAATATTAAGATTCTATAGGAATAGATACCTATAGATAGCTTTGTATCTAGACATTGTATTATAAATAAATAAACATATCTTTGCTCTAAAGTAAACCATGTCTCTATGCTTCTAATGAATATACCGAACTGCTCTAGTGAGAAAACATTCTACTTCTACACCACTTCTTATCTTGCCCTGTTGTATTAGAGATCTTTGTCGCTGTGTGCTATGTTGCAGATAGTAAATTAAGAAGGCTATCCCACTTGTAGCAATAGGAACACTATCAAAAAAGAGACTTGTACAAAAATTTTATAATTTGACTAGCTATAATAGCAATAATGCAATTTCTTTTGATATAGTTTTGGTTATATTAAAATTTATAATCAATTTTGCTAAAATTCATAGACTTCCATCATCTGGTTAGTATATATTTAATAATTTAATATTAATACTTAACTTTTAGTAACAGTAATAATATTTAAAATATTATAAGCCATAGTTTTTGTAATAATACCAAAGATGTTATATTTTTACTATCTTGTAAATCAAAAAAATCATTATATCAACTATATAATAATGCAATACAAGAAGAAGACAAGCAAAATAGTTTATCAAGTTTTTTGCGAATATCTTTCAAATGTGAAATTTATGATATCACATAGTAACTTGTGTATAATTTGTAAATTAGCAAGATTTGGAGCAAAATACTAGTCTACAAATGAAATGGAACAAAAAATACAAAATGAACAGGTCATTTTAATTGGGCTGGTTTGGAGTGTAAAAACTATAGGTAAAGATTTATAATAAACTAATATATTTTATACTATTTATTATTAAATACAAATTTATTTAGAGCATGTATGCTAAAAGCAAAAATAGCATTAAAATCTTTAGAAAATATAATACATCCAGGAACTCCTAATACTATTAATATTGAAAACCATATTTCTTGAGATTTCACTAAAGAAGTTCAAATTCTGTACTCATCTCAGCAAGAAAGAGCTACATATTTCAAATTACTTTATAAAATAGAGATATTTAGTATATGTGAAAAAGGGCTTTCACGTCAAGTAATATGTTATAAAATATTAATAAATTTAAATAATATTATGGAACATAATGAAATCAGATTAAACTTTTTCAACAACTTATTCTGACGATCACTTGGACCACAATTTCTAAAAAACTTTTTACTAGGAAAAAATATAGTACACTAGAGTAAAGTTGACAACTCTTCATAAGATATGAGAAAAAGGACTGTAAGTCAGCAGCTATTATTTAGAGGAAGTTCTCATATGCTACTTGCTAATAGCTTCAGAGTTTATCACTCACTAACTGCAGGCACGGCACTTGTCATTTAGAAGTAGTTTTTATATGCTACTTGCCAACAAGTTTAGAGTTTATTACTTACCGAAAAGACCTAGTACTGTGCAGGCTCTAGTAGATAGTTGATTCTAGTAAAAGAAAACCTATACTCTTTTAGTATTTTCAAATGTTTTTTCTTTCTTTCATATCTTGCTAACCTCACCAAAAATTTTAACCAAAAGTGAGCATTTCAGCTTATCTTCTTTAAAAGATCAGTATTGTTTACACTTACCTAATTCAGATAAACTCAGTAGAATGCAACCACGTGTTTGTTTTGTTTATCACTATGGTGCTACGGTATGAGGATGAGATTAATAACCTCGTTTAGGAGATGCCTGACCCTGGTGACGTATTCAGAACAAGTCCCAATACTAAAGCAAAGCTTTACAGCTAAGATATATTAATTAGTTGCAATTAGTATATAATTTTTACCTTTATATCTGACATGGGTTATAATAGTGTATTTGTTTTTTTTTGTTTCTTTTGTTTGTTTTTTTTTTAAGATGGTTCATCAGGACTCCTATGTTTTTTTTTTTGCTCTTTTTATCTTCGTCCTATTATGATAGAACTATATTTAGGACCCTTTTTTTTTCAGTTAATGTTTTTTTTTCTTTTTTTTGTTTTTCTCTTTCTTTTCCTAGATAGTTTTGTTTTTTTTCATTGATGTAGCATATTTTTTCTTTCCTTACAGAAAAGTAAGAGATAAACTATTCTGCCCAGATCTAGGTAAAAAAAGTTTAGAAGGAAGGATAGGTAGTCTTGACGAGCCAGAACCTTTCAGTAAAGATTTATTTTTTGCAAGTGTAATAAAGAATATTTTGGAGAAGAATCCTGCCTATAGCAGGTCACATATAAGTAATTTGGACTCTGGTCACAAAGAGCTAAGTGAGCTACTACTTGTAATTTAGATGGCATTAGGGTTTATACCCTTCGAAAATTTTAGTATAATATTATAAAGCCTAATAAAGTAGAGGCAAGACTGCTGAATTTTTTTTTTTTAAAAAAAAAAATCAGATTAGAATAAAATGAAGAGTTTTATTTAATCTTTTATAACCTACTTAAAACTCTATTCTCAATCTAACCTATAACCCTAGCCTCTAACTCTAACCAAAAAATATATACAAAAATTCTTATACTTTGGTGCTTGTTTATTTCTTTATATAGTACAATATTTCATTTTTAGTTTAATTTTATTTTTTTTTATTTTTTTTTTTTAAGAGAGGTCTTTCCTTAGTTCACTTTATTATAAATATGATGTGTTACAAAGTAAGAATACATATTTGTTTTAGGGAAAGGAGGTTAGAGCTATCTAGTCTTAACTAAAATTTACTCACGACCTATTCTTAGCTAGAAGGGTCAAGGCCTCTAGACGGTGTAATCAGGTTGAGTTTTATTGTATTTAACAAATTTGTTTAACCAAAGGCTTTTACTTAGTATAGTGGAATGGACCAAGTGTTTGGTGCCAGTCATATTAGTGTGTCCAATAGAGGGCCAATCTCCCATATGTGTTTCACATCGACTTGGTTTTCAGATCTTTTCATGTAAAGCTTCTATTATCATGTGATGTAACTTAGGAGCTATGTTAGCGTTCACGCTGCGGCCAGTGAAAGGTAATAATGTTTCTTCATATATTATGCCAATCGGCGATTTTTGAGTTATATTGATGGTTTTAAATTTATCTAGGAAATCATTTAAGTCTGATATTAGTAGGTTCTTTTTGCGGCTTATTTTGTATACTGTTTCGAATATTATATTATCCATCTTTATTCTATTTTTTTTACATGTGATCACGTGTGGAAAATCTTCGATTTCAGTTTTGCATCATTTGCATAGAAGGCTAGGATATTTGATTGCATTTCTTCTGTGAAGATTTAGTTGAGTGGGTAATTCGTCTATTAACACCTTCACTTTAAACGCCTTTAGATTCACCTGACTAAAGCTTGTGTTTCTATCAAGAGGTTTGCACTTATAATTTGTTCGAAAGTTAATTTCCAATTGATATTTGCCATAGTACAATTTTCTTGTAAATGTGGTGTTGGTATGCTCAATTTATTCTCTGTTCGTTTTTTAGAATTATTTTTACCAGTCTATACGTCGAGTATGTGCACGAGATATTTGATATTGATGGGATAAATTTTGCTAGTATTGCTAGTGCAGGATCTAAATCTATTTCTAGACTGTGTAATTCTTGTCATATTGCGTTAATTTCGTGTTTGTTTCTATAAGATTTCGTAGCCATTTGATTTTAGTATTGATCTATAGTCTTAATTTGCCTGGTATTATTGTCAGTAAGACTAGTAGCGCTGTTAGGGAGGCTAACATTTTTGATGGCCAATTCGATATCTTTCACTTCTCCAGGTGTTTTTTGAATTTGATTATTGTAAAGAAACCTTTTGGTTTGTTTTTTTTGTCGTTATCATCCAACCATACTGTTATTTCTCTCTTGAAGTTCATCTTAGAGAAAATTTCCCAGATTTTGTCTTTTTGATTTGTGAACATTTGTGCGTATCTAAAACTTATTCGGTATTCTAACGTTGGGGTTAGTATACATTTGGGTTTAGTCTTCTCGATATTAATATTAATTTTAGTAAACAGGCTTGGTATGTGGGCATGTATCTTGTTTTGCTTGTCAATTAGTAAGCTAGTTGTTTGCCTAAGTCCACTTTTCAGTGTGCAGTTTACTTTTTTCAATTGTTTTTCGTTTTGTAAACACCCTTTGCATTTAATTACCAACTGATCTTTGTAGTCTATCTTGTAGTGCTGGATAGTTGCAATTTTTTCTTTAATGCTAGTAATTTTGCCAATCTGCTTTGTTTGAGTTATAATTCATGCATCCTTTTTTGGGGTTTGTTTGTGTATAAAAAATGGATTTGGGTATTCCAATTCCATCGCTGGGTTAGTATTCTCTCTTATCAATTCTTGTACTTCGCTAAACCACTTTGGTATACGCCCTCTTGGTATTTTGTTAATATTGTGATGAAACTCCCGCCAACTCAGAAGTTGAGCATTGTGTATGTCAAGAAATTGTTCTATATATTCAATACCATGGGTGTTTAGTTTTTTTAAAACCAACTTCCTCTTTTGCAGTGGTTAATAACTGCATTTATCGATGTTCCCTTAATGTCGTGGGGGATAGGCCACTGATTATTGTTTCTTGATAGTTGTATTTGCATGTTGTGCATCGTATTGATTATAAATGCCGTGTAGGTTCTGTTTTCCTCGCTCGTGAAACTAGATCTTTCTAGCATTATGGATCTATTTGTGCAAGCCGAGCTTTGTAGTTGTTGTAATCGAATTTTAAAAGACGATTTTTTAAAATTCTGTGAATTTAACACTCTATCCAATATCTGTATGCATTGTTGTTTTTGGACTTGGCTTATTGTTTTGAGGCCGTATATATCTGGCTGAAACAATGTCGAGTTCGGGATTGCCTTGGCAAACCTTGCTTTCTGCTTTACAATATTTGTATAGAGGCTATTTACTCTATTACTTTGAGTATAGTTTAAGTATATGCTTTGCATTTGGTAAGAGGTCCTGGCCAGAATCATATTGTTTATTACATATATTGCTTGTTTGGGTGTGATCTTTGCTATTTTCAATTTCCGCGTACTTTGCTCAATTCAGTGATCAGATATTTTTGTACTGCGCTTAAGTTTTTATCTTTGGAGAAGTAGGCACCTAGGTGTCTAAAGACTGTTTTCGGGGGTATGTTCTTTATCGAAGTCCCAAAGAATTCAATCGTTGGATCTGAGTTTGAATCATTGGTTATTAACGTCGATTTGTTTGGTTGACCTTAATATTTGCATATTGTAAAAAAGATGCTGTGATTTCTAAGATCTGATTCATTTCGGCCTTACTAGTTGAGATCCAGACAGTGTCGTCCATTAAGGCAGTCACTAAGGAATTAAACTCATATTGTTTGTCCCCTACTTGTGCTTGTATGGAGTAACCTCTGATTGTTTCACTGACTCTGGCTATTAGAGGATCATAATAGATACGTCAAAGAATGTGAGATATTGTTTCTCCTTGGTCTAATCCATCTGATACCTTGTAAGAGCTTGTTAGACCCATATCAGTGATAACTTGATTCTGTCTATTTTCAAGGATAGAGCTAAATAGATTTATCGCTAGTCGAGGTATTTTAATTCTACTCAATGCCATTTTTAGTAATGGTATATGGACCGTATCATATACCTTCGACATATCCTGTGCTAAAATTTAGTACTTCTTATTATGTATTCTGCTGTCTTTGAGTATATTCGATATTGTTAGTATCGGGTCAAGTGTAGAAGTATGTGGCAATGCTACATTGTTATTAGTAGCTAGGATTTCATTTTTTAGCAGGATGGCGTTTAATCTTTTAGTGATGATTTTAGTGAAAATTTTACGTGTGTGCTCAATTAACATTATCAGTCTTGTTAAATGAGATCGTAATCGTATTGTAGTTTCTTCAGTATTGGCTATATGTTAGCTCTAGCCCAAGCTTTTGGAGTTGACTCTAATTTAATGCAAGCATTGAACAGTTCTAACAATCTTGATTTACTTTCATTATCTAATTTTTGCAGCATTTCATTTGAGATTCCAGTTAGTACCGGGGCCATCTCTTTCGGTGCATTTTTCAGGGTATCTTCAAGTTCTCCAATTGTAATAGCCTTTAACAGACCTGCATACATTTTTTCACTAGCTTTACTAAGTGGTTTGAACGTCGATTCCCAATCTTCCTTGAAAGTGTCATTTGTTGGGTTGGCTTTAGTCCATTTACTAAAGTGTTGTCTGATGGCCTGTTTAATTAATCGAGAGTCAGTGATTATGTCATCCGTTGTGACAACTTTCTGAAAATCAATTTTATCAGTATATCTCTTTAGTATATTATCAATCATCTTTGTAGTATTTTGATCTATATTTTGGCACCTCTTCATTATATGGTATTGGATCTTTCCTCTTAGTGTCTGTTCTGCTTCGATTTTTCTCAACTGTCTTAGTTGCTTAGATATTTTTGTTAGATAGTCTAAAGTCTAATCAATTTGGTAAGCTTTGTTAGCATCCAATGGCTCTATTGGTTCTGGTGAGTGACGTAATGCTTCTTTTATTTTCTCATTTAACTTTTCCATTAGGAAATTTAGAGATATTGGGACTTTAACATTTTTTAGAAAGTTTAATGTGCTATTTACACTTTTGAGTGCAGTATGTAGCTTTGTCGCCTCGAGAGAGTGGGCGTGGTGTACATGGGATCTTGTATAAGCTACTGGAATAACTTCTCTGGCAGCTATAAGAATAATATTTGATAGAACGTTCCATCGTCTGTCTATCATTTGTTGATCTATCAGAGGTTCCTCTACTGAGTTCTGGAGCTTTCTTAGAGTATCTTCCTTTGTTTTTTGGGCATAATTGTCCCATTTCTCTTGAGTTATTTGTTTATATAAATATACCTTTCTTTTTTTCTTTTTAACTCTTTGCTTGATTATTTCAGTGTTCAGGCACCAGGATGTTGCTATCAGTAGATAATCACTATTGGTCACTCCTGCTGCATCTACTATTTGGGGTGGTTCGAAATCTAGGATTTTTTCTGTATTTAACCATATGTCATCAATTTGGCTGTGTCGATCGCCTCTACTTCATATTGGTGTTGTGATAGCATGAAAGTTTAGTAAGCTCGATAGAGAGGCATTATTAAAAATATTAAAAATTGAGTCACATCTGGTACTTCTATTTAGGTCTTCGTTGAAATCCCCTAAGGTAATCATGTTCCAATTTTTTGACCTGGCTTCATGTAACCAATTTTCTAACTGTCTCTGGGTTGATCTTTTCAATGCCAAATGGTTGGAAGGTAAATATGTCTATATAATTTTTACTTTTAGGTTAGCTGGTAGAAATAGATCTAAGCATACCACAGTTCCCAGGACTGTCTGTATGTAATATATATACGGCTGTAGTTGGGGCAATATTGCTATTGCTATACCCAAACTTGCTTCCTGGGGGGCTGAGTTTGTAGGTATATAGTTTGATATGTAGATTTTGTATAGGGGATTTAATAGTGCAAAGTTATCTCGATTTTTAAGCTTTGTCTCTGTCATTGCTATGATGTGAAACTGATTGTAAGCACAATATTCCAGGAAGAGCTGGAATTTAACTTGACATGTCAGACCTTGTACGTTGTGTGTGGCTATGTTTAGGTAGTCTTTTAACTCGAAGTCTGTTAGTGTAGGTTGTGGTGAAGTATTATCATTAGAGTCACTATTTGTAGTATTTGCATTAGGCAGCGAACCTGTTGATAGGTTTTTTGTGCTTATGAGATTGGTGCGTAATTGCTAAAAATATCCCAGTAGGGTTCTGGTAAGTCTGATATGTCAATTAGGAATGGAGAGATGCCCCTAAAGTTGAAAAGTTCTTTAAGGAAGTTAGCTGTATGTTCAATTTCTTTCTGTTTTGTTATAGGAAGTGATAGTGATGGTAGTTTGTCTATGTTTTCTAAATGGCACAGTATTCCATCTATAGATTTAGGTAACAAAGATACTTGCATTGGATTCCGGGATTATCTCAATCCAGTCTTCTGGTATTTGCCTAAAATAGTAATGTTCTCTTAGGTCTCTTGCTATATTTACCAACTGTCTTGGGGATGTAATGAGAACTGTTATGTTTACCAGGGTTACTTTCTCATGATCGTCAGGCAGTAAAGGTTTCTCTGTTGGGTTGGCTGACATGTATTGTACTGGAAGTGGGATGTTGTATTTATATGTCGCATTATCTCATCTATAAATTCCTTGGCTTTTACTATGTCATATATTGGAAAGCTGTATGTTCCCTGTACTTTGACCTGTAGTGGGTCTGCTGGTAGTAGAGATTTTTGTATAAAGTAGTCAGTAGGTACTCTTCTAAAACCATAGTGTTCTCTTAACAGATCGACATAGAAGCAAAATTCAGAGTTATCTCTAAGATTGTATGGAAAATAGCCTTTTACTGCAGAATTCAGATTCTGTGGTGTTGATGATAATCTTGGTTTTTCAGGTGGCAAATTGAAGTATTGGGGTGGCATTTTTTCGACTTCATAGAATTTCATTAGTTTTTTCCTATACTCTGCCAAGTAAGGTAGTCTTGCCCTTTCTGTTATTGAGAACAAGTCTCTGACTTCAGCTCTTAATTGTTTAAGATCATCAGGTAGTTCTTCAAGTAGATTCTCAAAGTATCTGTCGTGTAGATTTTGGAAACAATACACTTTTCACAGAGCCATTATGGTTGCTCTTGTCAGTTTTCAGTTGGTAATTGGTAGTGAGAAAGGCAAAATTGCTTTTACTTCCTTTGGAATCTCTTCAGGATCTGTTGGTAGAGGATTTAAGACTCGCATGTGTAACATGTCTATTTGTCTATGCATTTCTTCGAAACTTTGATTATGGCTTATCTTAGCGAAGTTGAGCATGTAAAAAATAAAACGAGTATATTCGTGGGGGATAGTTAACATAAAATCTATGTTGCATATAAAGTCTATTGCCAGTTTTATCTTTAGTTTACTAAAGATTTGGTCTCTATTTGTCTTGTTAATGAATGCCGCTTTGTGATACCTCTTGTATTTTTTGATTGCTATTTGAAAAAGCAAATTGAATTCCTGTTGATGTTGTGGTTGAGTTTCTTTAACTCTCGAGAATGACCTAAAGAAGGCCGTATCCAAGTTAAGGAATTTCTTCAGGATTGCTGACGGGATGTTGTAGTTAGTAGAACGAACTTTGATTTTATGTTCGAGAAATTTATCTAATAATTCTTTATCAATGAGTGCTCTGATGACCTCATCATTGTGCCACTTTTTATTGTCAAAGTCTTGTTCACATGCTTTTGCTAAGGCTTGTGCGACTAAGTTAGCCCATATAAGAGACGTATTATCATTTGTCCTAGGTATATTTTTTTTTAATGCTTTACTATATGATAGTTTAGGTGCAGATTGTACAGTTGCATTGGATACTGTGTCTATTTCATTTCCTGTTTGTACTGCTTTCCCTTTGTTCAGGGTACTGCCTGTTTTGTGACTTGCATGAAGATCAGTTTCTAATTGTGTAGGGTCTTGTGCTAGATTTGATAGGTCTAGATCTACTTGGATTTCTTGTTTCTCAATTTGGTCGACTGCCATGGCTTCTGCACTCATTTCTTCCACGTTTGCTTTGTTTTGATCTGATGATGTCACTTCTATTTTTTTGGGGGTGGATCCATATCGCCACTTTGAGTTTGGATTTCTGGTAGGGCATGGATACTCTTAGTGTCTGTATTATCTATAGCGATTTGCTCTATTTCATTTGTAATTGTTGTTCTTGTTTTCTTTGTTGGTCTATTAGCATCTGGGTCAGCTATATTCCTGGACTGTATGTCTTCACCTGATGCACTGCTGGGGTCCATCGAATAGAAAAATGTGGTTGACTTGCTTGTAAAGAGGTGTTCAAAGGCGTTGGGGGTAGTAAAGGCTTGTTCTCTTCCTCTTTTACTTATCTTGACTAACTAGGTACTAGTGTAGGGGTAGAATTTGAAGCCCGTAGGCCCAACTAATTATACTTAATTTGTCTAGTCTTGTACTGTGTTTTTAATTTTCTGTTTACTTAATAAATTGGGATCTATGAGAAAGAGTTTTATTTTAGTTTAATTTTATTTTGATTCATCAAAATATTAAATTTATATATTTTATTACTTGAAAATGAATTATCTAATTCCTGAACACAAAAGTATTGGAAAAGAAGCTAATTTAGTAGTGTTACTTGTATATCATTATTTTACAGCACATGGCTTAGGAGAAAAATATGTCACAATTCATGCTGACAATTGTGTTAAGCAAAACAATGATAAAGTATTTAACTTGATAAGTGATGAATAGCCTGCACAATAGGATAATATACAGTTTTATTGTCACTAGCTATACTAAGTTTGTATCTGATGGATTTTTTGGTTTATTTAAGTTAAAGCTTCAAAGTTCTAAGGTTGATAATTTAATGCATGTTGTAAAGCAATCAACTACTAGTGGATACAATCAAGCTAATATAGTAATTGGCTCTGATAGATTTTGAATAATTATATTTTATGATTGGGCAAAATTTATGGACAAATTTTATACATCAATTCCATTTTTTCTTTAACAACATCATTTCGTTATATCAAGCAAAAATTAAAGAAAAGTAGAGACAAGAGCATGTGTTGATAGAGACATAAATCAAGTTTCAATTGCATGGGTTAGTATGATTCCATGGGCTGAAAATAGAGCTCTAATTCTTCTAGAAGTAATTACAGCACATGGTATTAGTTTAAAATGTAAATGGTATCTATATGATTAAGTGGTACAGACATTCAGAATCTATCAAAATGTGATATTTATTGTACAAAGCCTACTATTTCAAAGCCAAAAAAATTAAAAAATTAAGAATTCTATTTTATTATTTCAGGTATATATAAATAATTAAAATTACAATATTTAAGCAAGAGATACTAAAATAAATAAACTCTAATTAGTTTTGTATATTAAACAAAATTTAGGTTAATATTTATAGCAAATCAATTTTCTTAACTATTGTCACGGGCAGAATAAACCGTGATCAACTAAAAACGTGACCCAAACGACGATCGGGTCCCAGATCGGTGAACGATCTGCGATTATGGCGCAACAACGATGCCCCGGGTTTTGGCATTCAAGAT